TAGCGATAATCAAACTTAAGATATCTCAGTGAAAATAAATACTAATGTAATAAAAACGTTTAGAAAGTAAAACTGGATGTGTGAACAGCCTAATAATCAATTAATTTCCTTCTAGCACAGAAATATAAAAATGGGGGGATGAAATATTATAAAAATGGGGAGATGGAGCATATTCCATACAAATAATTTGGTGGAAATCAGATCCCTCAATGAAAGGGATCCTCATCTGTTTTTATGGGAAATGGATTCGCATTGTGGCCACTCCACATTCTTTTACGATTATCCAAATCCTTATTTTTTTAAATTTTATTTCATATATTAGCTTTGCAAAAGATTAATTTATTTGTAATTATTTACTTATTTAATTTTCGGGATGAAATTTCAATTTTTGTTAACCCAAAGCGCACCAACTTTCAGCAATCTCAAGCAATTGAGTGTTGATGTCTATCCCTATGAATATGATATAGTATGGACCTTGAGTTCCTTCTGAATCTCCTCAAGGTTACACCAGTTTTTTAAATTAAAGTACGATATTCATTGAAATAAGGGGAATACGTATAAACAGAAGAATTGTAGTCTTTTGAGGAGGATATGATGCAGACAGAGAAGCAGTCTAGATTCACAAATGAGCATTTGAGAAAAAAGTTAAGATGTAGGGATTCAAAGATGTTGCGTAGAATTATAATTTTATAATCATAATAATTATTCGTGAATGTTTTGATGTAAGTTAACTATATAATAATAAAAGTAAATTAAGATTTTCACGTTGGTTTTTGAATGTCATGCAAGTTAATCATGTTGGTTTAGCTCATTCTTTCGTTATATGCTAGACACAAAGGGTTAACTGATTATTGCATGGTAACTTCATACGTTTTGATACACTCCTTGCTGAATTATGATGTGGAACACATAAAGATGAACTCCATAGTTGATATTGTTGGTCGAGAGTTTTGAAGCGAGACTTACATCCTCTTTGCATGGACGGAGCCACTATAGGTCAGAGGGGGTGGATGCCCCCACTAAGTTTTTTGTTTTTTTTTATTTCCACAAAAATTGTACAATTTTGCATCCCAATGACTAACCATAATTCAAATACAATTAAACTCTATATGTTAATTGGTATTAAGGGAAATGCTAACAAGACTACTAAGAGTCAAACTCTCTATGGACTCTCAGTCACCTATTGTTTTTGGCACCATTCTCGTACCAACATTATAAAACATTGTGCCAAAAATATGAGGTGACGGAGAGTCCCACTTTAAAAGAGTCTCCTTAGCATTTCTCTTGGTATTAGTATGACTTGACTTCCAGTGGCGAAGCCAAAAATCTAGACTATGAGGGACCTTCAAGCCATACAAAAGAAATTAGACAAAATAATTGCAATTTTATTGCATGGGAGGAAAAACAAAAGTTTTGTTTATAGTATTGGCAAGGAAAATTTTAATCAAACAAGAGTGGTAGAGCTTAAATTTTTAATATTGAAATAATTATATCATAAGAACAAAACTTGTTTATGAGCTTTAATAAATAAAAGATGAATACATTAGATTCGAACAAATATTTTAAGTCAAGACTTAAAATTAGATCTGATTCTAAACTGTAAGATCTTATTTTATATCAACTGGGAGGGAAAAAAAAAAAAGAAAAAAAAAAAGAGGTATGATTTTTATATGGTAAACATAAGGATAATTACTACCAAAAAAAAAGTGGGCTTAGTTATTATGTGGTAAAACATAAGGGAAATTAGAACAAGAAAAGGGAGCTTGGATATATGGTTAAAAAGAAGACAGATTACAAGGGTTTTTGTACTTTCAATTTAAAAAAAAATCTGAAGGATGTGGCATACTCCAACAAGTCTCTCGACCCCCAGGAACACTTGGAATTGCAAAATCCGACTAACCAATGAGCCACATATTCATCATTGTAATAATTTGCAGATAAATCATATAAGAGGGTAAAATTCCAGGAGAGGCCTCTATGTGGCTCCATCATTGCTGACTTCGTCAACAATGATTCTAAGTTTTTTTACATGAAAAACTTTATGGATTAATATATAAGTGCTTTGTTCAGTAAATTTTTTTAGCTTTTTAATTGTGACTTCGCTGTTTGAGGATGCCCCCATTCATACAAATCTCTAGCTTCGTCCTTACCTCTTTGTAGTCGAGGTTTTCCCACTACAGTGTTTGGATTGTGGCGAGAAGCATTTATAAATATGCTCTAACATCGTATCAATTGTTTGAAAGCGACCAATAGAACCATATTTGGCAATCGACACCTAAGCTAAGCATAAGGCGACATCTTCGCTAGGAAGCCAATCAGCATTTCTAGCGCTTTCTTTGTCTACCATATGAGCTAATTTTGAAAGAAAAATGGAATGATTGAAGAAATTTGGTAGTGAAATATGAGAAAATTGAATTTGTTATGGATTAGTTAAAAATGGATGGGATAACATTATTTTGGCCGCTAAAATTTTTTATTGTTAAAATTGATTAAATTAGATTTGAGCTGTTGGATTTAAAATAATAAACGTTGAATTTTTATTTTTAAACTAATTATTGGATTGCAACAATAAAAAATCAATGTTGCACTTTAAATAGCTGTTGGAATTTAATGTAGTTAGGCGCGCAAAACTGGATAAAAACCCAAGAGCTCGCATCAACCATTGAAAGGCAACAACGCTATAACCTAAGCTGTAGAAGAGATGCTTATCGTGCACTCACCCACAGACAATATGTTGGATCCCTTATCCGCGCCCCCCCCTCTCCTCCTTTAGCGCCCCCTGCCTCCAGCTGGGGCACCCCGAAAATTCAGTTTTGGGCCCAAATTTTGGGGTTTTTTTTTTTTTTTTTTTTTTTTCCCACCTCCTCCCCTTGAGACAGCCTTAACTTCTCCACACCCATCTGCATCTTCTCCACATTCAATTCTAATCACCACCCAACTTAGCCATGATCTTCTACACCCACCTCCAACATCATCTTCTCCAGGATATACTAGCCAGAAAAACTCCACTCTATGTCCTCTTCACTGGCCCAACCGTTTTGCTTACCCATTTTTATTAAGGAAAACTAATTAAAATGACTTGAAAACTTTGAGTTTTAATAATAAGGACAAAATAAAGAGTAAAGTGAATAGTAACAAAATTGACTTTTTAATGTAAAAATGTGGTTTTTCGTTAAAGTGAAAAGTAGTGCGGGTTTTTCGTTAAAACTCTCTTTTTATTATTCAACCTTCATTTCCCTAGCTATTATCGTGAAATATGGTAAAATTGGAGTCTAAGTGGTTAAGTATCAACAATGCCAAATAGTGCCTGCAAAACTTCTGTATAATTATAACGTGTCACAAAGTTTTGGCGCCAAGAAAATAATTGCGAACACTGCAAATAAATCAACCGTAGGACAATCTATTACTACATTAACAAGGCTAATCATTTAATCAATATATCATACATGTTACACTTCCAGAAATTCTTTGTCTCGAACCAAGTAGATATTCTTTAAAATTCAGAAATGGAATAACCACCAGCCTAGCCGACGTTCCATATATATAGTGGTTGTTACACATAAAATAAAATTGTAATTTAAAATAGCAATTTCAAGGTGTCACTCAATAATTCAGTGCGAAATATGCCAAGGCAATACAAAATCACCAATGTATTTAATTAAATGGTAAGATTTTATCCATATATATATACATCATTTAAATCATCAGTCAGAGCTAGTAATACATAAACTCATAATAATGCATGATCCATGCATGTCTACACAAGTAATCCCTCTTTTGGCGACCCAGGATTATTACGAATAATCCATGTCATGCCATATCAAACTATCCAACCTAATAATTAGTTTTTTAGGTCATTAGCTCAAAATATAGGTGCATTTCTACTTATTTTTAGACATTTTTTCTTATCAAAGGATATTAGAAAAGGTGAAAATTTTGCGTCAAAGCTTCGGATACAAAAGAGTGCATGGTCTTAATTAAATAAAGTTATCCAGCTAGCTAAAAACTCTTGCATTTTTATCGAATACGTAAACCAAATCAATGTAGTACTATTAGTGCTCAAATATTTGGTCCTATATTTATTTTTATTTTTATCATTAATTCAATGTTTTTACACTATGATCATTTATTATGACTTTGGTAAATGACAAGTTGGTATATTAGTCTCAAGTATATGTACGGTACTATTTATTTGAATTTGTAAGAATTATACCCCTTATGTAACATATGTGTTATTTTCTATTACTAATATATCATAGAAGTGCACGGGACATATTAATTTTGACATCCAACAATGTTATATCCAGGACATCCCAGATTTGAGGCTCCAAGCTGGTGAGTTTACTTGACTGTGGTTAAGGGGAAGTTGAAATGCCTCTATGAGTAATCCCGGTTCCTAGTCCCGGTCCCCCATTTTAATAAGGAAAAAAAAATATTATAACATGTAAATAGTAATATTCTTTGATGATGGTATTCCCAACAACACACAAAATTCCACGTCAAGGATCACAAAGTTGATAGACGAAAAATTTTAATTGGAGTGGAGTTATGAAACTATTGATCATCAAATTAAATACCCACTTCCTTCTCCTTCATCATGAGATTTGATCTGAACCATTCATTTGAACCACAAGACATCTATAAATAGACTCCTTTTATTCATTAGAAGAGCATGTAAATTTAACTAGAGAGAGCTTGAGTGAGGTATTTTGAATCAATTTCTTTTGCAATTTCGCTGAGATATTGTTGGGGTAAGAGGAATTAGTCTCCCATTAAACACATTAATCTTCTAGCTTCATTTCCTTAATTTCTCATTGAAGTCCGAGCTTTAGAGGGTTTGTGATTCAATTTAAATATAGTGGTCATATTTCATGTATCACAACAAAAGTGATCTACGTTAGACTACGTATACTGCGTTATACGTACTTTAATTTTTTCGACTTCTAAGTTTTAAATCTAGCTCTACTATGTGTCTACAGGTGACCTTAATTATCTGCAGAATGGCTTGTGGAGCATTACTATTTGTTGCTTTGTTAAGTTTGATTGTTGGGAGCTGGTGCCTCCCAGAAAACGCAGAACTTAAAGATTTCGGTGGCCCTCCAAGTAACACTGAGAAAAAGGGAAATAGATGGGCTGTTCTAGTTGCTGGGTCAAATGAATACTACAACTATAGACACCAGGTTTAAGTTTGTCCAAATTTCATTATATATAGTATCGAGTAATATTATTTTGGTCTGATAAATTAAATCATATAAACATATGGTTAAGTTATGTTATTAATTATACAATTTATTAATTGTTTTATGCAGGCTGATATATGCCATGCATACCAGATACTGAAGAAAGGCGGACTGAAAGATGAGAACATCATCGTTTTTATGTACGATGATATTGCATACAACCCGGAAAATCCTAGAAAAGGTGTCATCATCAACAAACCAAATGGCCGTGATGTTTATAAAGGAGTTCCCAAGGTTTAACTTTTAGCATATATTGATTTAGTTTCTAGCTAGTACTTTGGTAGTTTAACATTGTCGAAATGGTGTATTTTTTTAATGCAGGATTATACAGGAACTGATGTTAATCCAAACAATTTCTATAATGTTATTCTTGGAAACAAAAGTGCTCTCACTGGAGGGAGTGGCAAGGTTCTGCGTAGCGGTCCAAATGACCACGTTTTCATATATTATGCAGACCATGGTTCTGCAGGATTACTTGGTACAATGAAGGAAGAAATTTTTTAAAATTTTATTTTTCTATGAAATTAAATAAATACTGCATAGTTAACTGACATATGAATCTGTATTGTATTCAGCTATGCCTACTGATGGCGATTATGTTTACGCTATAGATCTCATACGTGTCCTGAAGAAGAAGCATGCTTCTAGAGGTTTCAAAAGCATGGTATGAATTCCTACTTATATGAAGAAAAAGAAAATAGAATCAAGCGTCATTAAATTTTGAATTAATTTTTGGTGGATTTCATCAGTACCTTCTAAGGCTTTGATGCATTTATATGGAAAAAAATAAAAGGTACTGTACGTTGAAGCTTGCGAGTCTGGGAGCATGTTTGATGGTATCCTTCCGAGAAATCTAAATATTTATGCTACTACCGCGGCAAATCCAGAAGAGAGCAGTTATGGAACATATTGTCCTGGTGAAGATCCTCGTGTTGCTGAAGAGTATGGTACTTGTTTGGGAGACTTGTACAGTATTTCCTGGATGGAGGATTGGTAATGCAATGCTTTCCATTTGAAGATTATTCTGTTCTAAAGAGCACATTACTTTCCAAGTTTCCAATATACTTTCAATCAAAAGCTCGTACTAATATTCTTTTGTTTTGGTGGCTATTGCAACATAATGTCACATTTGAGAGCAGTGACATAAGTGATTCGCGCAAAGAAACTTTGCAGCAGCAGTATGAAAGGGTAACATGCATATTGAACTTTATATCGTTATGTGTAATAATATTAGCAAAAATAAGAATTGTATATATGACCATGTCGGCTAAATTACAGGTTCGAAGAAGAACAAATAAATCTCATGTTATGCAGTACGGAGATATGAGTCGCAGACAGCAGTTCCTTGTCACTTACATGGGTGGATATCTTTCTAAACGTAGTACTTCCACCAGCAATATCTCTTCACCCTTAATCTCAAGGGCTGTTAACCAACGCGACACTAAGCTCCACTATTTTCAGCACAAGGTTTCTGCTCTAAACTTGGATGTTTCCAATGACATATATACACTAATTTTAGTTTTTGCAACAAAACAATGCCAAACTTTTCGGCTAGAGAAAGTTTTCATATAATTTGATAATGCAGCTCTGAATTCAAAATGTTTTTCTTACGATTATAAGTTCTGCAGTTGGGTAGAGCTCCGACTGGCTCTCAGGAGGAATTGGAAGCTCGAAAGCAGCTACTCGATGAAATTGCTCATCGGAAACATGTGGACGATAGCGTACATAAAATAGGGGAGCTTTTGTTTGGACGCCGGGAGAGCTCAAACATGTTGATGAAGGTTAGGCCGCGAGGGCAACCTCTAGTAGATAACTGGGACTGCTTCAAGAAGCTTGTAAGTCCTCGATCTTTTAACTGTTTAAAGTACACCCAGTACACCTTTTTCTCTGAGATTTGGATATCGATCGGGTTCTTTCCATGCAGTTGAAGATTTACGAGAAATATTGTGGACATTTTTCTGCATACGGATTGAAATACACGCGAGCTATAGCCAACATGTGCAACGCTGGGATCACGGCAGAGAAAATGGTTGTGGCGTCTGATCAGACTTGTTCCAAGAAACCCCATGTTTAGAACTTCCTTTCTGATAATCAGATGAATTAATAAAAGGAAACAGGAAAAGAGTGGAGTACTAAAAAAAAAGATTAATGAAACGGGAGTTTACTATACATTGAACATTACAACAAAATGTTACAAAACTGTGACAATTTGTGGTTTATTGTTTACAAACTAAGAACACATCATCCTCGCTAATTAGAGTTGAGGTTAGTTGGTCAAGACTGTGTGCCGACCGGCTTGCGCTCAAGTTCGAGTCCTTGTTCCCGTAGATTAGAGAATAGCTTTGTCAAAACAGAAGATAGGCTCCTCTCACCGCATTATTGTCTAGCCAACATATCTCGTAAGCTAAACTCGATATTTCTCCCCTTTAGCACCCAGTATCTAGGTTTTATCCTCTTTTCCAATGAATAACTGAAGTACCTTGGATACTCCACCAAATCCGTCACCGGTTTCTCCACGACAGCCCATTCTTCATTAAATATTTCATCCTGCCCACCAAATTCTCCACATCAGTCCATGATACAACAGATTAATTCACATTTCACCAAGAACCGGAGAATTCTAAATTCTTTGAGCCGCAAATTTTAAATGAAATTAAAGAGCATTACCGAGGAAGTAAAGTTCTATCAGTGTCAGAGATGAGAAGCTCTGGATACTTTTTGATAACCCGAAGAAGGTGGGGTTCGGAAACACCATTGCTAGCAAGAAATTCCAGCTTCCTCTTGAGAGTTTTGCCAATGCTGGCGGCAAATATTTTGGGACAACACCCCAGTATGCTCCCAACTGTTTCTTTATCAAATCCTAGGATAATAGGACTCATATACATGGTTCCCAAATCCTTCACAGAGACTGATAAAATGTATCCAAATGCTGCGTGTTGGATGAGATTTTCACTCCCTAAGGTGGGACCAACATGAAAAGATGGGTGATTGGACTAGGTTTCATGACGACACGTAAAAGGTACACTACAAGCCGAACCTCCACAGTTTCCTTTCTTGGCCGTGTTCCCCATTCATCACCATAGTTGGAGCAACTTTACAATGACAGTAAGCGACAAGTCATATGATATGAGATTTGGTCATGGGGGATTTCAGGGTATTTAAAGTATGTATCGGTTTTAAGTTCTCTGAAGTATCTTGTTCAAAAATAAAATTAAACAAAGTTGAAGAATGTGTCACAGGGATTGCATATTGTGGACACTACTGCAGTCTACCATAAAATTTGCAAACTCAGCATGCACAAAAGGCATCTTAACGGTTTCAAATACAATAAATTCATTTTAAAATTTTGCATCACTTCACCTTATTCTTTTTATGGCCATTTCAAATACAATAATATTAGCTATAAAGCATGAAACCGAAAGACTAGAGTATATGGCACTGTATTACCAAACAAATTCTTCGGTATCTCATCTTCAATATAAAACGGAAATTCATGAAACAGCCACACAAGTATTTTCTACACGAAAGATTTAAACAGGAAGATGTCATGAGGTAATATTCATGAATATAAGGAACAAACATATTTGTGAAAATATCAATAACCTACCTGAAGAAATTCTTGAGGTTTCCATATCAATAGCTGAGGACTTCTAGAGATAACCTGATCCAACTTCTTGTTTCTAATACCCAATTCACCAATTTCTTCGACCATCAATTTTAGCATGCTGGTTGAGCAACCCAAAATATGAGGCCAGCTTCTGATTGCACGGCCAACACTCAATTTTGGTACCTGTTATGAAACATAATTTCACATTTAGCATTTAGCTCAAAATAATCAACCAACATTTGTGTTGGAAAATTTGGCCAGAATCAAAATAGGACCTAAGGGGATACTGTACCTTCTCCAACTCAAAGAAAGAAGAAACCTCCTTGAAGTTCTCTTGAATGCTCATTGATAGAATCCATGGATATTTAATCAACATTCTGCCGACATCTTTCTCCTCCACACCAACCTGCACAAGAATTCATGAAAAAGTGCTCAATCATAGGTATACAAAGGTGTCCAAATAATGTAGTGAAGTCCATTCTTGGTCTAAATGGTATACACCAAGAGAACAATGTATAAATCCAACTTCATAATCCTATTTTATCACAATTTGCATATAATCTCTGTACATTTTGTTATGCTACTGATCGTAACATTTCATAATTCTAAAAGTACACATGTCCGAAGAAAAAATAAATGTCCAATGTGAGAACAAGGAAACTAGAACCAACATAATTGCACAGTGAGATGGAGATCACGTATTTTATCATTAATAATGCTGCAGAAATAACCAATTCTTCAGTAACGGCATATTTGGAGTCGTATTAAGTCACATAATGTTTCTGTGCATAAACTAAAATGAAGAGAAAGCAGAGCTGAAATTGGCAGCACCTCTTTAAAAGCAAGCACTCTTGTTTTGATGACTTTAATGTTACAAAAAATAACAGGTGGAAATAACAGAAATATGCTTCTCATTATTTCCCTAGGGACTCCAAAATTTTCAAGATATTCCACAAAAGGTCTCACTTGAGGATCCAAGGGCAACAAAAGAAGACGTGGAAAGGACAATTAAGCAACGGAAAGCAGAATCTCCAGAGCCCAACATATCCAAACCTCCACACCTTGCTGTCTATAGCATGAAATGAAAAAACAACTAAAAACAAGATAAAGTGATCTGGACACACATGATGCACGTGAAAATGAATCTCTAAATAGCAAAGAAAAGAAATAAGAATAACTTGCATATAGACATTCATGCACTATAAAGATTTGAAAGAGACATACCAGACCTTTACAAAAAAGGATAGGGTTTGTTGCAAGTCATCATCAATAGGAATTGATAAGTGCATCATCATACGACGAGCATTTTTCCCAGTGAGCCCCCCATCACTACTGTCAGAAAAGAATATTTTCTTCACATAGTTAACCTATAAGCAAATGTAAAATAAGAAACCATCTGCCACAGATCTAAAAAATAATTTCACTTGTGGATTCATATGTTGATAATCAATACCAAATTCCTGCTCTTTATCCATTTCATAAGGTTTCCAATTTTACAAGGTATATTGGTCCTAATTCAACTTGATTCCCGAATTTACAAACTCAAATGTAATTTGAATGATTTTCATGTGCTTTGCCTGAAACTAATCAGGCTGCACATTCCCAAAGCTTGTAACATCATCTAATGTACCATTTCTCTCATGCTTCCTAGTGAGCACTGTTTACTACCTTAGAACAATATCAAGAAAGCACAATTATGTTAATAATGCAGAACCTCATACAACCTTGAACGAGTTTGCTTCACATTGTATGTCATATCGAAACCCCTTCTCAGGGAGCACATAGATTATTGTCTAGCATAGAATACGTAATAGCATAGTACATGATTAGAAATATTGATTTTTGATAAATAAAGATGTCATAGATAAGCCATAAAAAAATGATGAACATGTCATCACTTCTTAGTTCCTACAATAAGAATGTCATCACTTCCTACCCTATACAGTTTCTGACAAATTGTTCTGATGCCAATTGCAAGTTCACAATAACCAAAATCTAGATTGTCAACGAAACAAATAATAACGAACCAGAATGCCCTTACCTTCTCAATGAGCCCCGGAAGCGTCTCTGCAGATAAATGCCTGGCAACATTCATAGCCGAAGACAGACTCAACCCGACCGCACCCTCCAAAAACTCAATCTTTCCATTGTCACCTTTCTCCATAGCCAAATACCTCACCTTCCCTTTGAATCCCCCCTAATTCTCTCCCCTCCTCCCACTCTCCCCACATCCCCAGCTCATCCAACTCCACAACCCCATCAACCAACATCCACAAATACCTCGGCGAATTCGACGAAACAAAGGCGGCTTCCGCCTCAGAAGCCCCAAATTCTTGAAGAAGCTCCAAAAGGGCTTCTTGGGCAGTTTTTATTTGCTCCGGTTGGTGGTCCGGTGGCAGCGCAGAGCTGTTGGGCGGCGCGGAAAACAGTGGGGCAGTGGAAATTTTGGTGGGTTTTGGAGGGTTTCCGGAAAAATTGGATCTTGGGTTTGTGGGTGAGGTGGAGTCTGAGAGTGAGAGTGGGGTTTGAGGGGTTGGGGAGAAGGGGTGATGGGTTTTTGGGGGGGTTCGGTGACGAGGATAGTCTGAAAGTTATGGTGAAGGTTGTGGGGATTGAGGGGAATTTGGAGGAGGACATGGTTGGAGGAATTAAGCATCCATATATGGAAAGAAAGTCTTTTTCTTTCTTAAACCCTAAAACCCCTGAGGGTGTGTTTGTTTGACTTCCTTATACTTCACTAGATTGGATTACACTAAAAATTAGGATAATCCTGTGATTGTTCCCTACCCGGACTAGTTTTAATGGTATTAAGAGGGACTTGCCCCTGTTGGATAGTGGTCAAATTAGGCTAGGAAACAAAACAAAATTGATGAGGGAACATCATGATGAGGATTATGTTTCCTTGTTTTGTGGCTTTTTCAAAGCCATAATTATTTGGCTTTCAGGTGGAAGAAAGGAGGAGAAGAAAAGGGGCTGATTTTTATTTAAAGGCTTGCCGAGTGAAAAGAGAGCATGAGGAGGAGAACAAAAGAAAAAATTAGAGAGTGAGAGTAAGGAACTCTTGGGGTAGAGTGAGGCTCTTGGGAAAATTCTGTGAGTGGGTGTACAAGGGATATGGGATTGGGTTATGTCGATTTAACTCATGTGTAACTTGTACTGTTTTTCTCATAGTGAAGAGCAATATCTTTTCGAGGACGTAGGCAGGTTTTTGCCGAACCTCGTAAATTTCTCGATGTCTTTATTTCTTGTATTTTAAACTATTCAACTGTGGGTTTGTATGTTGGTGAGATAATCAGTCAAGGCACAACAGCCCCAACAAAACAGCTCGCTAGTTGGTCTTAGCGAATCCCCTCGCAAAGCATAGGATTGTTAAGACCGTCTCAACTGGGTTCGCGTTCATCTATTTCGCTTCATCAAGCGACTTCTCGATCTGACTACACAGCTCAGATTTTCGTTTCACAATCTGGGTATCTTCCAAAGGCACTGCCTTGGGCTCATCGATCTCGATTCCAGACAGCATGGCCTTCGGGTGCGACTTTACCTCTGTTCAATGATTAATTAGGGTTTTAAATCCTTTTAAACTGTTTTGATTAGTTTTAGTTTGTGGGTTTCCTGTTCTTTGATCGATGGTGTTTTTACTTTTCTGGGTTTTCAAGTTTGTGCAATGGCTATTCATCTGAGAGCTACTGGTGATGCTCTTGTACTCAAGCAAGCCAAATTCGAGTTTTGCCTTTTGTGGTTACATACTTACAGTATGTATATGAATCTTGCAATTATCTTGCAACTTAGAATTCGAACAAGTTTAGAATTTTGATTGTGATTGATGGAGTTGTGTGAAAAATATTAGCCCCTCAATTAGGAGGGCTAGGAATTGAACTAGAACTAGAAGTTAGTCCAACTTCTTAGTCTGACATTATATCAAACGTTTCACTAAGTTAATTCAACTTAGTTTAGTTTAAACCAATCCAACTTAATTGTTGAAGCTAGACTAATCTGAAATAATTTGGTACAACAAATATAATGGGTAACTCAAGAGAAAGCTCTCATCTTTTTCTTTTGGATTGAGCTAAAAGCAACTTTGACAGGACACGATGGTGGAATGAGACAAAGTTGGGGAAATCCAAATATAAGGGGTAAATCATTTACCTATGTAATTGTAACCTCATAATATGTTCTAAAAATATTTCAATATCATACAGAAATTTACATTTTAATCGCAATTTTGTATATTTGTTAATTAAATTGTCACTTTTACGTTAAGTGATGTGTGACAATTACGAGTTCCACTCTTTTGTTGAAGTGGCATAAATAATAGAGAAATACTAAAAAATACGACATTATTTTAATTCTAATAGGATTTTTGGAATATGCACACGATATGCACATGTCATGCATGCACAACAATCAGACAAAAATATGATTTTTTGAATATGCATATGACATGCACAACAGTCGAACATAAATATGATTTTTCCTACGTCTTAAAATGTCTAAATTGCCCTCATATATAAATAGGTTATTTCCTTTTATTTTCTGATTTATCTCTTTCTACTCTCTCTTCCTCTTTCTTTCTCTATAATTGATATTTATTGGATGTTCTTAGATTAGTGAAAGATAATGGAAAACCCAGTTGGAAGATTTGATTTATTTGGAGATTGTTTGTGTTTGCTGATTGGCCATTTTGAGAAATGAACACATTTATGTTCTTGCAGTTGCAAATTGGGGATTTCTTCCTCAAATAATCATCTTCTTCCCCAAATTCAAAAACTCAGTTGGAAGATTTGATTTATTTGGAGATTGTTTGTATTTGTTGATTGGCCTTTTTGGAAAATGAACACATTTATGTGCTTGTAGTTGCAGATTGGGGATTTCTTTCTCAAATCGTCATCTTCTTCCCCAAATTCGAAAACCCAGTTATAAGATTTGATTTATTTAGAGATTGAAAACCCAGTTGGAAGATTTGATTTATTTGGAGATTGTTTGTGTTTGTTGATTGGCCTTTTTAGAAAATGAACACATTTATGTGCTTCTAGTTGCAGATTGGGGATTTCTTCCTCAAATCATCATCTTCTTCCCCAAATTTGAAATCTCATTCAAAACCCATCTGGGTCAAAATCAATCTGTAATCCAAAAAAATTTCAGATGTTGAAGAAAATTCATTATGAAAAACTAAAGACACCATTTTTTCTTCTGCAATCTTTTTTTCTCCTCCGCCGATGAACTTCTTCTCCCTCTAAGTTCAAAGAAAATCCCAAATTTTTTATCTGTATCAATACGTGCAACAACGTCGGTTTGGTTGTGGACGTGCATCGAGCAATTAACAGCATTAAGGATATGTGGGGGTCTAGATTTCGAAAATCTCTTAGAGATCTATAGTTTACAAATCTTTGACCTGAACCTATATTCTAGAAATCCCATTAAAAATCATCTATTTCCAGTAACATGCACACGACATGCACATAATATGCTCACAGATATGAGCCAACGGAAGAGCTCACAACTCTCTCTTCGAAATTAGAAAAATGGCGTCATCACCTGTGATGTCACCACCATATACACTATATGCACATCACATGTATAATACCTGCACATAACTGGAGATAAGGCAACTAGCTGTTTTTCGCATTAATAAGAAACTTTAACGGCAATCTATTGGTATAATGGATACAATTAAAACATAATTGTCATGTATATAAGTTACAATGGTAGTTTGAAAAGTCTTGTTATGTATATCAACCACCGGTTAACCGTGCATGTGAAAAACATGATACTTGTTGTCGTTGGACGCGCATGACCCTTAATGTCCTCTAAGCTTTTTCTTAATTTTGTTTTTCGCCAAGGCCAACTAGGTTATGGTCATACTCGCTAAATTCTGGGACCCAACACACATGCATTATAATTAGTGAACATTCCTGTTTCTTATATTAAGTTGTAGCCATGCAAACTATATGCACACCATATGCACATTACGGAAAAGTTTTTACAAATTTCTGCAATTGGACACTTGAACTAGAAATGGTTCCATCTTAGTTTTGTAGCACGTAAAGTTTATTCGCAACCCATAGGCCCTAACATGAAACACAAACACTAATTGAACTTCAAAGTATTAATTCATCCCCTAAACAATCCATTTATTCCCTAAATCACTGATGTAGAAACTTGGAACTACCTTACTATGCATGACGAAACTTCAGTTGTTGGAAAAAATGAAACTTTTCAGCCAAAACAGAAAATATGGTACAAAACACAACTCACTCCTCTCACCTTTCTCTCACATCCCTTTGTACGAAATCAAAGATATGAGGTCAACCCAAAACCTAACTCACTATTCTCACCTCTCTTTGGACTTCCCTCTCCTCAAAATCAGAGCTCAACCCATAAATCCAGAGCTTACAAAGCTTTCTCCACATCCCTGTCTTCCAAATGAGAAAAGTGATGCAACAAGATGATGATTTTTAGTATTTATATATGGGTATATTAATAATATCGGTTTTGTGCATGGTAAGCATGGCTTGTGCATGGCTGGTTTTTCCCATTTCTGTCCCATGATTAAGAAAATGTTATATTTATGGGTATTTCCCTAAATAATATGCCACATAGGACAAAATATAATATATATTTTTTTTTGAAATGTTAATTTTAGAAGGAAAAGTTTTTAAAAATATAACTTCTAACATTAGCCAATGAGTCACTTAGTGTTACGGTCAGTGATATTTCTCTTCATTTGTAAGTAAGAGATCTTAGATTCGATTATCGCCAAAGGCAAATTTGAACCACATTAAGCTTAGATCACTTAACCATTTCCTTAGTGTAGATAATATTATTTGTTAAAAAAAAAAATTAGCTGACGAGAGTGAGATGGTTGGCTGAGCATACGAGAGAGTAATAGTTGTTTGATGAAATATTAAATGATTTGAAATAATTTATAACAATTAAATATTTTATTCGTTGTTTGGCCATGCGCCACAAATTGGCAGTCACATCAGTAGAAATGTGGAACCTATTGTCACCGCGTTATCATTTAATAGCTAACTTAATAGATAGTTTAACGGTTGTATAAAATTAAAATAAAATAATAACTAAATGTATGAGACAGTGACAGATTCGAGATTTTAACATCGTGTTGTCTCAATATAAGCTCAAAAAAAATGGATGAAAATAACATTGAAAAAGTAAACAATAACCTACAACTTTTCGTTCATAATCTTTATACAAACAACATGACAAGGTACAAAGACAAAACTTATCCATTAGGAGTTTTCATACTCTAAAAACGTGTCATGATAGTTTCATTGTCAATACAAGAAAAACATATTTCTCAATGTAAATAACTAAGCTATCATTTAACCATTGATCTCCATTTTGTTACAGAGTGGAAAGCTATCATTTAACCATTGATCCCCATTTTGTTATAGAGTGGACTCTTAAGGATATTCATGGCTGAAAATGCTCTCTCCATTGATGCAGTTGCAACCAGTAAAACCAAAACCAATTCAATGAGTAAATACACATATTGGTTGAGCTCGAGAATAGGGATAGGCTGATAACCAATTAGAAATTAGTTTTGGTAGGAAATGAATCTTCTCCAGATCCCTTCCTCCTAATCCACCAAGTCTGAGGATCCGGACAGTTGAAATTTGATCCAATAGTTACAAACAGGGGCCTACTTTAAAGGTTATAATAACTTTAGTCGTTGTATCAAATTTTAATGACCTGAATCCATAAACTTGGTGTATTAGGTGGAAGGGATCCGAAAAGAATCATTTTCCGTTTTGGTAAAGTGAAGTAAAGTAAAATGATGATATGTTGGACAAAGAGAAATTGAAATTTGTGTCTAACCTTACCAAACGAGGCTTTATTTTTTATTTTTTAAATGGTTCGAACTTCAAATTGAAATTGGTGAACCGCTAGTTACTGCTCTCTCACGTGGATCAACGCCTCACAAATGGCTATGCTTTAATGTTTTTAAATGACTTGACTTAAAATGACGTTATTTTGTACAAGTAATCTTTAAAAAAGTCTTTTTCTTTCTCCTTCTGTTTGCAGAACCTGCACTGCAATCTGCACCCATTCCTGCACTTATCCTCCACCACAGTGCAGACTTGGGTGGCCCTCGGAGGTCTTCATAGCCACTTATCCGAACTTCCGGGTGGTCTTAGAATCACCCCGGTCCTTTAATAATCCACTTATGGTATGAGAATGAAATGTTTTAAAAATATTTCAAAAAAATTGTACAATTGCACCCAAACTTGATGGAGGAAAATATAATTTACCCAAAAAAAAAAAAATTGGGTAAATTATATTTTACCACCTCAGGTTTCGGGTTGATTTCAATTCCTTACAACATTTTAAAAACATTTTACTTTCCTACCTCAAGTGTTATTTTATTTCAATATAATACATTCATTACATTTTCTATCCATTGATCCATTAAAAATTAACGTGGCTGTTACATTTGTGCCACGTGGTTGCCAAATTTATGCCACGTGGAAAAAATTTTATTTTATTTTTTATTACCCTATTGGGAGAAAAAAAAAATTGAAAACCAAGAAACCCATAAGCTTCATCCCCTGCCTCCTTGCCTCCCTACACTTTTCATCCCTCCCTTCCACGCCCCTTCCTTCCTCCTTGCACCCTTCATCCCTTCCTCGCCATGGACCAAACATTGCAAATCCCTACAATTCCACGTGCCATGGCTTGAAACAAAACCTAGCAAATCCAAATCCAAAAACCCATTTAAAAAAAAAAAAAAAAAGAAAAGAAAGTTGAAACCCAGAAACCCATTCCCCCCGACCCTCCTCCACTCTCCTCAATCTCTTTCTCGAACCCCAAACCCCCCAAATCCAAAAACCATTTCACCCACCATAGCCTCATAGCTCCCACCACCACCAACAGTGGCAGTGACGGACTTCTTCGTCTATGAGATCACAAGAGAGCACCTGAAAAGTTTATTCACCATCTCCTGTAAGTCATGCCACAGCAGAGGATCCGCCAAGGAACTCAAAACCTCAATTGAGCTGCTCCTCCCTATAATCCAAGAAATCAAGTACTCTAGGGTCAAGCTATCGGTCGAATGGTAGTTCCAGCTCTACTGCATGTCAGAAGTTCTCCAGAATGGCCTCGACAACATGATTTTTGGGAGGGAGGATTTGAGGGTCGGTGGGAGTAGTGGGATTGGGTTGTAGGGAAATGGGGAGGCTCGAGAGGGAGAAGAGGAGTGGGGTTATGGGTTTTCAGGTGTTTTTTTTATTTTTATTTTTATTTTTCCCAATAGGGTAATAAAAAATTATTTTTTTGCCATGTGGCATAAATTTGGCAATCACGTGACACAAATATGGCAGCCATGTCAGCTTTTGACAGATCAAAGGATGAAAAATGTAACGGATGTATGATATTGAAATAAAATAGTACTTGAGGTATGAAAGTGAAATGTTTTAAAAATATTGTAAGGAATTGAAATCGACTCAAAACTTGAGATGGTAAAATGTAATTTACCCAAAAAAAATTATTGCATTGTAAGGCCCTCAAAATGTAAATGGGGCCAGGTATGTGCAGCCCATTAAGGGAAACAGAACATGGGCCGGGTTTTGCAAAAACAAGGATGAAGCTCGTCTCCCATGTCGAATTCTGGTTGCAATTTCAAAACTTTTTCCTTTTTCTTCAGAAATGGCCATTCACCATTTGATGTCTGTACAGAAAATTGGAGCAAAAATTGAGGACCTGTAAGTAATTTTCGATTTCTTGGTCTTTTTATTTTACAAGCATATTTTGAATTTGCACATTTCATTACTCATCAATCATCATTGTTCATAAATTGTAAATATTTACATGTAATGCCAATCATATTTACATGACAATTGGAACAAAGTTTCAGGCTGGAAGAGAATTTGAATTTAAAAAAAATAAAAATCCAAACATTCTGGGATCCAAAATTTCAATCGAAAAAAGAAAAATTGAGTAAAAAAAAGTGTGACAATTATTCTAATGAGGTCACTGGAGCAATGTTACATCTGGAACTCACAGAAACTTGCTATCAATATTTATGCAGTTGTCCCTGTGAAGGAAAAGTAAATCGAAAAATAATTAAAATTCAGTTCTTCATAATTTGTTGCCAAAGATTATTTGTCAGTCTATAGTTTATGGTGTCTATACCTGCTTCTTCTGCTTGTATTTCTGATTGTGAAGATGTGCTCGACTGGCTCTTTGAGGTTTCCGAATTCTTGAGCTGTGGATCGCTTATTACTTCCTGCAGAAGATGTGCTTTTGTCAATATTTTAGTTAAATTTGATGATCATTTTAAGAAGTTACAGTTGCTATTGGTTTTTATGGCATTGGAATACTAACTTAGGCCTTGTTTGGTGTCTAAGATTGAATCTGATTGGATGATTCGCTTGATTATGTGTATGTTGAACGAAGAAATGGCTGTTAACTTCATTGCTTCCAATCCATAAATAAAATGGTAAGATTTGGAGGATACGTTTCGATCATGCCTAATCCATCATCTACCTTCAACTTGGACAAAATTGGAACTTTCATCCATTTCTTCCTTCAACATGCATTGATTCCAAAGAGCTGCCCTATCCAATCTAATTCTCTACACTTAATTTGCAATACCAGGAAACTTTAGGGAAGGTTGGGAGTTTATATTTAAATTTTTAGGGGTAGACTTGTGCAACTAAATGCTTCTGAACTTTTCGGTTTTCTTGACTTACATGTTGATCGGCAACACGACTATGATTAGGAGAAGGGCCATCATTGCCTCCTAATAACTTGTGGTTCATCTTTTCGTCAGCAAGTTCTCTCAGTTTATTCAGTTCTGGCAGTATCACAGTGCCAAGATCCGGCCTGTCCTTCCTTCTAAGTTCTGCACATTGGACTGCTAGCTTTGCAAAGCTCAAGGCTTCTTCATATGGCCAATCAGGCACAGATGGGTCCAGCATCTCCGCGAATGTGCCCTTTTCAATTGCACTTTCGACATGGTGAGCCAACCCCATAGGTGGTCTGTTTGTTACCAATTGAAGAAGCATAATGCCTAAGGAGTATACATCAGATTTTACACCAAGCATACCTGTCTGCTGATACTCAGGATCAATATAGCAGAATGTTCCGGCTGTTGCTGTCATGAGGCACTGCGTCATGTTTTCAGCAACAGCTGGGACAAGTCTGGCCAGTCCGACATCACTAATCTTGCTCACATAGTTGTGATCTAGCAAAATGTTGCCCGGCTTGAGGTCACGGTGCACCAAGGGCTCCGGCTTCGTCTGGTGAAGAAAGAGTAGGCCTGTGGCAATCTCAGCTGCAATGCGGAACCTAAGTTGCCAAGACAAAGCTGGAGTGTTCCCTTTTCTTGAGAGACAGTCGTCTAAGCTTCCATTCGCCATGTATTCATAGGCTAGAATGCCGTACTCTGGGCAGGCTCCAAGAAGCAGCACCATGTTGGGATGTCGAATGGAGCTAAGTATGTCGATCTGCATCAAATCATGAAAGAAGAGGTTAGACATAAATTTTTCGATATCATATATTTTTACCATATATCTTTGTAGGCTGCAATTTAGAACCAAATGTAAGATAATAAAGCATGTTGTAATAGAAAAAACATGTACAAACATGTTCAACTCGTCACAAAAATATTACATTGTCGGATAAGCTAATTTCATTCGGAAATCTTTTTCCTTTGCATGGAGTTCACTCCTTATACTTACCTTTTCCAATGGAATTCTTTTCAGCACAAAACCAAGGTAAATAAAATTAACGAATCATGATAGCTAATCAAGATTCTCAGTCCCTTACCTCTTTCTGAAACTGTGACCTTCCTTGAGCAGCATCCGGGCGCAATACCTTGACTGCAACCGGCGTGTGATTAAGATAGCACTTATAGACAGGACCATAACCTCCTTCCCCAACTTTTCGAGATGGCAAAAAGTGTTCTGTTGCTTCTTCAATCTCCTCAATGGAATACCTCCTATACTTGTCATCAGTGTGGGCTAGATTTGACAATAGCTTCCTCATGTCCTCTGCTTCTCTAAGAGCCTTACTTTCTGCGTTAACCCGTTTATTTGACTCAAATTCTGCAATTCTTTTAGCTGCATCAGCTGCTTCCATGGCTGCCTTGCACCTAGCTTTTTCTTTCTCTGCAACTGCCAGTGCTGCTTCTTGACCCAGTCGTGCCTCCTCGAGTTTTTGTTCCTCTTCAGCCCTCCAGCTGTGCAACTTCATTTCCTGTCGTGGACGTAAATTTAAATGGAATCTTGAAAAAAATTGCAGAAAGCAAATCTGACTTCCACTCACTTTCTGTTTAGCTGTAATTGCTTCTCTGCATGCTGTACTGTACATGTCCATTGTTTGCTTCAGCTCTAGCTTTAGCCTCCTCATCTCCGATTCTACTTCATCCTACGTCAGTTTAATAAATGCAGTGCAAAAATCATCTAGATAATGTGAAAGGAAGGATATTTGAACAAAAATGTTGAGAAAGTGATGATGGTGAAAACAATCATCTTATAAGATGTAAAAGGTTTGAGATTTTCGGTTGCTTACCAGGTTCTGTGATGACCATGATGATGATGTTCGGCTGCTTTCATGTGAAACTGATGAGAAATCTTGTGGAAAATTGAGTTCCGCAAACTTAGGTCCTAGGCGCATTGATCCAAAGCTTTGGTCTGAGCTGGTAGATAGCCGCCCTCGGTCCATATAGTCATACATCACAGAAGAAGCTCGGTCAGTGCTCGCCCTGTCAGAGCTTATAAATGATATGTCACTTTCCGATTCTGAGAACCCTCCACCAATCATTCCATTACTAAAACCTCCTCCTCTTGCATATGCGTATCTGTTTCCAATCAAGATGGTGATCAGTTTTCTCAGTATATTGGCATCAATACTCACTACGCATAACAACATAGTACAAAGAGATTGTCTGCTCATCACATCATATTGTATCTCAAAAAAAGGTTTAGCATGCTACGGCTTACCTGGTTGCTTCATCTTGCAAGTTACGAGGCTTGAACGATGGTCTGGCTGCTGGATGTAAAGGATCAAAATAATAATTTTAGTACTCAACCAAACTTGGTTTTCAAGAAAGCTTAATAACCAAGAGAAACAAACCTTTCAAGTACAAATTTTGTTTAGGTGTTTCAGCTGCTTTAGCACTTTGCTGATTTAATGCCTCTATTTGGGCAAGTAGCGGAGAACTGTGAGGTGCTGGACGAGAAGCATGTCGCTCTGAATTGATTTTCCCTTTGGAGATGACATATATGGTGCAGAAATCGGGTGCCCCTTTTGATACACTGCTTGGAATACTTGATGACTTGAATCTGAATGAGTAAATCATCGATTTTTAAGCCCACTGATTGAGTCTACACAAGCTATAGCATGGATAAAGTGTCTGTATATATTGGGTTTACACGTACTATAGCATCATTAAAATGTGTCATATTGCCTAGTGAATTCCATCATGAAATTGCCAATTCTGTGCTTATATGAGAGTGAAATACATTAACCATGACAGTTTGAAAACAATCAACGTGTTCCTGCTCGAATCAGCATCATGCTGATATTTTACGGAATATTGAGTGACAATATTTCATCGATAAATAGGGTGATTCTTCCCTCGTGGATAATGCTTTTTCTTGTTGTAACATTTTGTTTCATTGTCATTCTTTGCATTATCTTGGTGGAAATGTTAAGAAAATGTTAATAAAAGTAAAACATTAGACAATGCAATTACCTTATAAATCCATGCTTTGATGGAGCTCCCAGAACCAAAGTCTCAATTGCAGCATAGGAAACATACTCTGTTAGTGCTTTTGGTATATCTGAGTCTTCAAGTATGATATCGAGGCAGTTCATCTGAAAAAAAAAAAAATTTGCACGACATGAGCATTCAGTCGAAAAGTAAGAAAGATACAGTTACATGAAACTATGAATCGTAAGAAATGCGATGATAATTCCTTCTGCCCAAAAGGGTACATTTATTTGATTTTTAAATGATGGTATGTACTTTTTAAGACATGCTTTGATATGCATTCACTACAATATATGATAATGCATAAGAAATTTTAGGGTTGTAATCCAAAAAATTTAATAAAGCATTTAATGCAGGTTGGTCATGGAAAAAGCTTTCGAAGGAAGAGCTCCGAAACCTACATCCTTACGAGTACAATAGCAATGGAAGGTAACGAACAGATCCTTGGCCATCTTTTCGAGTTGCTGTTTGCGCGGGGATTGAGACGGATTGTTCATATTGCATACAACAGCATTGTTTCCAGCCACTGCACCCATAAAAAAAAAAGAAAAAAAAAAGCTGTATCATTGCCTTCCATTGAAAAGTAATTTTTTAGCTACCTTTAGAGAGAGAGAGAGAGAGAGAGAGAGAGAGAGAGAGATTACAGGGGCAAACTGATGATGCCTTCTGAACATGTAGTAGAATGACAGTTTGGCCCCTGGTGAGAACATGTTCAGCAGCCCATCTGAGTGCATTTTGGCTCCCTTTCTGATTGTCTATGGCAACTGCCACCAATCCATTTCCTCCTGCTTCCTTCTTTGCTCCATTTCCTTTTTTTGCATTCCACATTTTCTCCAAATCCTCTTAACTATGAAAAATAGAATGTTTCTAGGTTCCAGAATGCTAGAATGATACAGAAAAAAATTAGCATGACCTCTACACAAAGATGACATGCATAAATCAAGAAGGTTTATAGGATACAAACAAATCAGGTAGAAACTCTTCCATGATGCGTAAAAACTAACCTAGAGATCTTTGAGGCCTAAAACCTGTTGTTCTTAATTAAACAAATATAAACATAAAAATAAATGGAAAAACTACTATAGAATTTAGGGTTTACAAGAACTTATGAGGCACAATAGGCACAGGAGTTTTCACATTTCTTTGGTCTTCTTTTTCTGTTCAGAAGCTGGCCGTTTTTCTATTTCGGGTTTTCAAATAGAAGCCTCACAATTCAGATAATAATGAAAAAAAAACAGCAAAGTATGTGGAAGCCTCACGATTGAGAGAGTTGCTGCCAAAACTAGAAGATCAAAGCATAGGCCATGGATAAATCCCCCTCTCACAAAGTACTATTTTTATGTTATGATATATCTAGGGTACGGACTTGAATTTTGGATTTTTTTTTTTTAAGCTAACCACTATAAAGATCTCGATTATTTCTCTCCTTATGTATCCTATTTGGTTAAACTTGGAGTAGTAACTATCTTTTTTCCAAAGAGTAGTTTCTATCTTTCACGTATAAGTTATCTTCACAAAGAGTTTTTTTGGTCAAACAGTAAAGGGTAATTCATGCAGCAAGATATTTTACCGATTTGAATATTATTGAAACAAACCAATATTTATTGAAATATTAATCAATAGAATTGTTGAATCACAAAACAAATCACAACTTATATCAAATAGTTCTACTTCTAATTGAATCTAAACCTTGCATAAAACTCCACATCTATTGGTTGCACTAAGGACAATATTGATGCGGTTACTGTAGTATAATATCAGCATGTAGTATGTGCTACTAATATAGACATTTCCTATTTTGACACTTTGGTTTCAACCTTCTTGCCCACTCGTGCGAAAGATATGTTTTTTTCAATCATGACGTCCATGATGGAGTCAGAAATTTACAACGATGGATCATAAAATTGAAGCTTCCAAAAAATGATCATACTTTGCATATAATTCCCAATTTATAATTTTTTTTTCCTGCTAAAAATTCATTCCCAATCAATCAATCAATACAAAATCCTAAAACTTCCCAATAAGCCCAAGATGAGAAAAATATTGATATGATTAAGATTCCTTGATACAATCAAGTGCAATGAAGGTAGGCTAATCGAACTTGAATACCGGAGAAACTTTGAATTGAGATATATGAAGCCTGGGTGGAGAAGGCATTTGCGTATTTGATATGTCTTTAGCTTGTTTGAGAATTACCATGCTTAACTTTTTTTTAAAATTTTTTTTTAAGTGAAACAAAACATAATTGATGCAATTTTGGTTTGTATTAATTTAAAGAATATTGATTAAATTTCTCCTTATTTCATTTGTCTTAGCTAGTATAGGGGTTAAACGAAATTTCAAAGAGGGTATTTTATATGTTAGTGGGGTCAACAGTAGCCAATGCCTCAGATTGGCTCTGCCATATACCTCCTCTTTCGGATAGTAGAATATGAAGTTCTATGAATTCCTCCTTATGATCTCGTATTCCCTAAGTAAGAGTCACAAACCATTATGTAATGCTTTGAAAGTTTTAAAATGCGCTTATTAAGTTTCTGGAATGGATAATCACCAAACTTTATACAAAGTGAAACTAAACTAATCGAAAAAAATAATAATAAAGATTGAAAACCGAATAAGTTGCTGTAAATTATCAAACAATACTAAAATTTTATGTTTTGATTTCGGTAAGGGTCTGTGCCCTGGTGCGAATTTCCCATATAAGACAGTAGACACATGAAGTGGCCGTGTGAAATGTGAGGTTCGATGAGTTCAATTACAAAGAGTCACCTCCTTTTGTGAAGAGGGTCGCACGACTAATGTGCAGGTATCTAGACCCAAGAATTACTCCTTAATAGAAGCTCAACTTACTTGTAGAATTAATGTTGCACTAAAATGATACATTGTGGAAGTTTTATAAATAGATTTAGGGGTACAAGTTGGATTGAAAGTTTTTATTTTGACTGACTTCGATAAAATAATTTCCAACTTTTGGTTGATCCTAATTCGCCCTCTATATTTTGAAAATTTCAATTTTTTTGGCATACTGGAATGTATCTTCCGAAAGTCATATAAATTTCTAGAATGCATTTGATTTCTAAGTTTGAAATACCTGAGATGATTGATTTGATGTTGAAATTATTTTTTCAAAATTTAAACTCTACTACAAGTGTTCCTTTATCACAATGGTGGAAAAGTGTTGAGTCATTACATGATCACGTGGGTTCGAACCTCGTCGGTAGCTAATCTAATATCTAATCTAACAAAATCTGTCTTTTGACTTAAAAAAAAAAAAAGAAGTGAAACTCTACTAATTGTTTTTCTTGTAAACAAATAAAGTACATTAATTCCGATCACATCCGTCCGAAATTAGGCCTAAATACACCAATTGAAAATTTTTATTTTTGATCCGGTCGAGTGTACTGTATCAAATTTATAATTCCATTTAGAAGCCTTCGTTTCAACTTGGAAACACACCAAAACACATGCTTGAATTTAGAGAGAGCATTACTAACTAGTTTTGTCAACTAAGTAATTCGCATTACACCAAGATGATACAAGAGTGTCATCCCCCAACACCTACAGTACAACCCCATTTCCTGATCCAAAAGAAATGGTAGCAAAATAATAATGACAAAAAAAATAGTTCCTCATTTCTTTAAGTTCAAATCTCTCCCTGCACATGCATGCTTCAACTTGTGGGCATGGTTCATTCCGAATGAAGTTAGCTGAAACCTGTACCCCTGTGCATTATATCCTCTAATTTACACATCGGTTTCCCTAAGTCCCAACCAGCCAGTAGTACTTGGAATGAAGAATCGCTCATCATTTCTCAAATCACACCACTTGTGAAGGGTAATCATCTCCTTCACTAGAAACACTTGATCGGTAATCTCCCTCGCTTTCTCCCTCGTTCAACTCTTCAATCTTCTCAACGACTTCATTCAAATCCAGCCTTCTCTCCATATCCTCCTCACAACAACTCACTCCAATCTTCAAGAGCTTTAACAGTTCTCCTCTACTGTTCCCCACTCTCCCCATTTCTACATCAAACACCTCACTCGTCCTCTTTTCCTTGATCATTCCATTGACCCAATTTGCTAAATCCGCCTTACTATCGTAACTTTCCTTGAGGTAGTTCTCTGGGAACTTTCCGGTTAACACCTCCAAGATTATTATTCCGAAGCACCATAAGTCGGTCTTCTTTGTTATACGTCGGTGCTGGGCGTATTCGGGTGACTTGTATGCCATCATCAGGTGTTGAGCTTGCTCCATGTTGATCACGGGGAGTAGAGCATAGTCGTTCAGTAGGGGCTCAAAGTTTTCGTCTAAAAGCACATTAGAGGATTTTAGATGACCATGGGGTACAACCAAGCTAGGGAGTGTGCTGTAGAGGTATGTCAATCCCCTTGCTATGCCCTTGATTATTCTCAAACGTGTTGGCCAATCAAGCACAGGCATATCTGAATTATGATTCCCTGTAAAAACAAAAATTTACCACCGTGATGTGATTTCACTATGAATTAGTAAATCAATTCGTACTATATTTTAACGCTCACACTCTCACTCAGCTACGTGGATTCCACTGAATCTTAAGAGAAACATCATGTAAAATGTAGTCAGTAAATATGGTAGGTGGAACATAATAGTACTCATTCAAGCATGCACATAATTAAGGAGACCTAATGTTAAGCTAACTTGTGACACAAGAAAAAAAAATACTCACCGTGAAGATGAGAAGCCAAGCTACCATTCTCCACAAAGTCAGAAACCAAGAGCTTCTCTTCCCTTCTATAATAATAGGCCACCAGAGGCAACAAGTTTTGGTGTGTCAATCTTCCAAGCCTTCTCATGTGCTCATGGAACTCCTCTCTTCCCACATTGTTCATCTGCTTATACCTCTTGACCACCACAACATCAGTCATGATCAAAGCCTTGTAGGAAGCCCCAAAATTCCCGCTCCCCAAGATTTCAGCCGAGGCTCTGAGAAGGTCATGCAAATCAAACCTCTGTCTGTCATCCCTCACAAACGACAACTTTCCCTGGTCAGCTCTCTTTGGATGTGGGTTAGTTTCTACCGACTTAACATCCATTTGGCTGCTCGCAGCAGCTGCCGTATAATTGGAGGATTCGTCCAATGATTCAGTCCCGTCTAATTCTGATCGTTGCTTTCTCTTGTTGAGGAACATTAAAATCGCAGCAATGAGGGCCAGTAGAAGTAATAGACTCACTACAAGTAGGGCTACTTTTAGACCTGATGGCTTCTTAGACGCACCGCATGAATCCCCCGTGCATTCATGCGGTGGGGCAGGAGTTGTAGGAGGAGGAGCAGGTGGAGAAGGAGGAGGAGGAGGGGGGCTGCATGGTCCCTGAAGAGGCGAACCACATAGCTTTCCATTGCCTAAATTTTGGTTAAAATCAGATCCAAATTCATAAATGGTTAATGGTGATGATTTAAATGAAAGATGATGCTAATGGGAAAATTTTGACGATCACATCCGTTGCGATTTCATTTTGAATTCAAAATGAATCAGTCATCTACATTTCAGTTTCAATTCAAAACTAATCAGTCAAACATATATAGCAACAAATCTAACGCATGAACGATATTAATTAATTACCTGCAAAGTTACTTGGATCCATCTTTTTTAGGCTTTCTGGAACTGGACCCTCCAATTCATTTTGAGATACATTCAACCTCTTCAAAGCCCTCTGCTTAAAATCAGGTATTTGGCCACTAAACTTGTTCCCCTCAAGACCCACATCGAAAACCCTAAGCAAAGTAGTAAGGGAAGAAGGGATTTTGCCTGAAA